ATAACAAGCAATTGCAGTTGTTTTGCGGCACTTGGATGCATACTTTTCAAAATGCCAGCTGGATTTCCATGTACAAATAGCACCTGCCACAAAGGGAGGCATCCTTGTTTCAGTTGCTAGTGCAGGTTTGGCAGAAAACAAGGCAAGCGGAGGCAGGCAACATGAGGAAAAACTGAGAAGAGAAAGCCGAAGCCCTCTGAGGCCAGCTGGCAAAACCTAACAGGCCTTGAGGGTGGGGATGAAGAGTCAATTGATTGAGGAAAGTGGGAGTTCTTTTATTCCATTCGTTTTTATAATATATATTTCCATTGCTGCATATAGAGATGGCCATGAACTTCGGTTCGGAGGTTCGTGTCAGTTCATACGCATGGCATCACAGATGCCTCACATTCCCTTCCCCCACCTCCCAGGCCAACGACTCACTCACAAGTCAGAGTGCGCTCCTCTCCTCCTCTTTGGCGGTTCGACCAATCTCCGGCAAGAGCATGGATTCGCCTGTCCTGCCTCCTTGTCTGATTGGGAGACCAGCCAAGAAGGAGGGGCAGGCAAGCCTGTGCTCCTGCCAGGGACTGGTCGAACAGCCAAATAGGAGGGGAGAGGAGCAAGCACTGACTGGTAAGTGGGTGGATCCAGGTTGGGGAGGTGGGGGAAGGGAACACGTGCCACCACAGGTGCCCATCTCTAGTCACATGGAAACAGAAAGAGTACATTTTGTAAAGAACTATAATATCCATGCAAGGCAAATATCAGCACTATCCAACATTTCCTATAAAAATATCATTGCAAATTCCTAGCTGGTCTATTAGGCAGAGAAAAAGACAGGTATCTAGCATAAAATGAAATGCAAGAGACTAAGAAAATGAAACCGGGTGTTATCGCTCAAATTAGAATTGAGGAAAACTCTGGTATCTTGTTCATTTGTTGTAACCTTCACGGCATCATCAAAAGAGTGCCAAGGACTAGAAAAACAAGTACTCTCATAAACCATCTTTTGATTTGACATTCTGGGTTGCCTTAATCGTTTCTGCAACTCAACCTAAGCAAACTTTGTACAGCTATTCCTTCAAAATGTGGAAAGATTTTGGTAACTGGTTTCTGATGGCCAAAAGCAGAGCCAGTGATGTCTAGTGGGGCATTGATCATTGAGCAGAGGGCTGGACTCAATGACCTTATAGTCCTCTCCCAGCTCAACTATTTTATGGTTCTATGTAAGCATGTGAAGTTGGGAGGGGTTGTATGATATAGAAGATGTATAACTCTTTTCCAAAGGTAATTCTATTAGGAAATGCTTCCTCAGTATGTGCAGAATTCTGGGTCCTTCTTTATCTTTCACAAATAAGTAGAAGGCATATAAGATCGATGCACCAGAGGTGTCAAACTTGGCGTTCTAAATGCAATTCCATGTATATTTCCCTGTATGTATAGTAGATCCCATTATACTCTTTCGACTTTGCTTCTGAGTAAACATAAATTCCAGCTAGGCACATCAGGACCTCCTGAAGATTTTGAGAGACAGTCTTGGCTTGGAGACATCATTTAAATCACCCTTAATTATGCATGGAGTTGCTCAAGGCAGAACTGATGTAAATGCTCCTGTTCATGTCTTTACATCTGACTCTTACAGGAGGTCATTTCTCATTTGCTTTTAATGAAGCAAATGAACACTGACATAAAGAGTGACTACATGACCCATTAAGCACACTTTGAGGGAAAGATCAGAAGGTCTGAGACTCTGCAGAAGAGATGTCAAAATTAGTCTCAAGGTATAACGTCACCCTTGGATGCTTCCCTGTTTAATCATTTTTATTTTATGATGTTCTGGGCAAATGCTGTTAGTCACTTAGCCAAGCATCATACATGCATGTGCGATATCAGCAGGACTGAAAGAAATCCCAGGTTTGCAGAAATGCAAAAGGAGGAGGAAGAGGATGTGGGGAGTGAAGAAAGTATCCATGTGGGGGGCTATAGTTGTGTTCTTTCCCTATTTACCCCTGTCCATGTTTCCTTCCTCATCTTCTATTGTCTCCTGTATTGAATAGACATATGCCATTTGCTTTTTTTTGAGAGAGAGAGAGAGGACTCTAAATTGCAGAATTCCTAATTCTGGTAGTTCCAACTGCCAAACCACACCTAAATTGCACTCACCTGGAGAAACATCATTTTCTAACAGGCACCTAGGTCAAAGCTCACCTATTCTAGGCCATGAAGCCTTCTTCCCAGCCTTTCTTAAGGGGAGCACAACTTAGGTGTGAGTTCAACATAGAGAACTACCAGAATGGAGAATTATGGGATTTGGAATAAAAAAAGAAAAGAAAAAACCCACACCCCAGTATTGAGTTGTGTCCCATTCAGTTACAGCTCGAGGCCAAGAGTAGCAGCTGGTAGCATTGAATGGCAGTCAAATCAAGACAGCTAAAGGCTCATTGAGGAAGTCAAGTCAGATTACATTAGGCAAGGTTAAATTAAGCAGATATATCATAATGGCCATTCCAGGGTTTTCAAGATATAGAATACTCAGAAATGGTTTACTTTGTGGAAGTCAAGTCAGATTACATTAGGCAAGGTCAAATTAAGCAGATATATCATAAAAATCATTGTGTGCTATCAAGTCAATTCTTACGTATGGTGGCCATTCCAGGGTTTCCAAGATACAGAATGCTCAGAAATGGTTTACTGTGTAGCTTGTCCAAGGCCACCCAGGCTGGCTCTTCTCCTGGAAGGCACAGCAGGGGATCAAACTCCCAATGCTGGCTCCACAGCCTGGGGCCTAAATCATTGAACTTTTCAGCAGGTATATCAAATTTCCAACCTCTGGCTTCACAGCCTGGGGTCTAAACCACTGAACTTTTCAGCAGGTACAGTGTGGTCAAAAAGAAACAGGTCAATGCACTACTGTCAAAAAGGAGTATGATAAGTTCCATTTCAGGACCTTGGAGAGCTCCATCTCAATCCAAATCTATAAACAGAACTCATCCCTGCTGGGAGATATTGCCTCAGTATGAAGTTGAAAGCAGTTGAGGTCTTACATGGGATGAAAAAGCCTCTAGTGCGGTCAGCTCTTCTGCCTAGAAGAAGGGCAGAGTTACTGAATTTCAAAGAGGTAACCATGCTAGTCTGTTGCATTCATTCAGGCATCCTTCAGTCTCGAGAGACTATGGTAACGTGCTCTGTATGGAGGACTTTGTATGCAAAGCTGGAATGTCCTCTCCAGAGCACGAAGCCTGGGTAAAATAATATGGAGGATAGACTGTTACCCAAGCAGCAAATCCCCCTCTCCACATCGCTGAAATAGTCCAATGGAAAGGCAAGAGCCAATACAACTGGTTCCAGCGACATCGCAGGAGTTGCCAGAACGACACAAACTGCCTCTGGGACTCCAGCTCTGGATTTTGCCTCGAGGTTAACTTCTGAAGCCATTTCCATCAGTGGATATTCATGGCACATTTAAGATTAATTTATTTTAGCATGAATATTACAATCCTTCAGCTGCATGACATATGAATGTACGCAGGTCACAAGTATATATTTATAGCACACTTGGCTGTGCAGGTGGGAACGGATTGAGATGGGGTACAGAAAATCACAATTATGCTCTTAACATTGGCAACAAACCTTCACCTTGTTCACTATTTGTTCTAGAATTTAGAAATATTGCCTGTTTGGATTACAATTCCCAGCATCTATGCTGGCTGGAGGATCTTGACAATTGTAATCTGTCTTTTTTTTCCCTGAGGTCTAAAGATGGCTATATAGCTCAATGGTTTAGGTATCTGTCTGTGGAAGCAGAGGTTGGGAGTTCAATTCCCCACTCTGCCTTCTGGGAGAACAGCCAGCCTTTGGCCAAGCTGCACAGTTCTAGGATGCCTCCAGAAGAAGGGAGTGGTAAACCACTGCAAAGTATCCTCTACCTGGAAAACCCTGAAAAGTGTCACAGAAGTGAGAATTCATGTGTGTCAGAAGGATTCTGCAAGTGCTTTTGAACTAGCAAGGTGTGCCTTCTAAGTGCCAACACATGGCAGTAGTGAAAGTTTGTGACTTTGCAACCCTACTTTACAGTTCTGTTGTGAAGGTAAAATGGGGAGGAGAGGGAGAGAAACATGAACGTGGCCCAGAGCATCTCCACAAAAAGGGAAAGATATAAGTAAAATCAACAGACAAATACGAACATGCATCTAAATTATATCTTATTACATGGCAGTCAGTTGCCTACAACTGTACCTGAGTCCGGGCTTTAATGTGGGAAGCTTGCTTCCTATACTTAGTTGCATATCATTTACTCTAAAGTAAGTCCAAAGTGTTTCAAAGGAACTCACTCCCCAGGTCAGTATGCCTGGAATTGCAGCCATAAAGCAACATCACAACAACCGACATCTCTTTGTGTCCTCACTTAGGACAGTTGTAGCCTTTGGGCTTCTCTTTGCATACATCAGAATAGCCAAGGGCCACATCCAGCCCTGGACAATGGAAGCATGACCTAGCAAGCAACCCTTACAGTGCACACTGCCTCCATCTACCTCTCCCCCTCTTTCCTTGACCATAGATTCCCAAAACAAGATAGGGGGTGGGGGTGATTGTTTTGTTGGTTTGGCTGTGACAAATCATAACACCCCAAACACACATCCTACACTCCCCCCTTTTTTTCCCTCCCAGAGATACATCTGCTGAGAAAAGCCAAGGAACAGAAGAATCACACAAATCAGGGAGCAGAAATCATTGTGGTCTCTTGGCTGTGGCTGGCGGAAGAGATACAGAACGAGCAGGAGGGGAAGCTTTGCAGGGAGTGAGTACAGGCATCTGTGTTTTCTCAAGGCAACTGCTGTCTAATCTCTCTTCTCCCGCCCCCCTCCCCTTTGGCCCACATTGGTCCTATCTGTGCAGTCGGAAAGGCAAGTCTGAGGCATGCAAACCCCTCCCCTCCCTCCCTCCGCACCTTTCCTTTCTCCTTCCCTTCTTGTTCATTCAGAACAGATGATGCTCTGATCACATGGACCCATCTCCCTTGCCTTGCCTCCCCTCCGGCCCTTTAAATAGCTATATTACACAGAGAATTCATTTGTACTCTACACCTAGCAAGAAGGAGCGAGGGAAAGGCATGGAGAGGGAAATTTAACAGGGAAAAGTGGGGTTGTTGTGTGTGTGTGGGGGTATGGAGTGAGTACTGACAGCTCTGCCTGAGCTAAGGGAAGGCAGGGATGGATAACAAGAGGGGGGCGTGAGCGACTGGGTTTCAGGCATCTTTTGTTATAGCAGGCAGCAGAAGGCAAGAGGGCGAGCAAGACAAGTCTTGGATAAGAAGAAGACCTTTCCATTATTCCGGGGAAGCTGATGGCATGGAATGGACAACCGCAACACATTTGCCTCCCTGCCTCCCTTTGAGTGTTGCCTTCACCCCCAAGTGCCCCCCAGAATGTCCGACGGGGCGTTAACATTTCCAGGTATGTTGCCTTCCTTTCTGATTATTTAATCATAACATTTATTGATTCTCCTCCTCCTCTTGGTGCCGTAGAGCCAGGGAACACAAGAAGTTCTGAGATCAGCCATGCGGAAGGCGCACTTCATGTGATGGTAGATGCCAAGGATATCACAATATCATCCATGGATCTCTGCCTCCTTGCCGGAGGACATGTGGGGGGATCCATCAAGAGCCACTTTCTGACTGTGCAAAGCCATGCGCTGCCCTTAAGCCTTGCATGGCTAGAGCACTGTGGAAGTGTCAGAAGTTATTCTGGATTCCTTCCCCTTCCCTTTCCCCTTTGAGAGTTAGATTTGGGAGGCTCGAAAGCTGAGATGGGGATCTGAAATCAAATCACAATTTAATAAGAAATGCCTGCCGAAGAAAAATGGAGTTCGGTGCTGACTGGGTTGCTGTTGTTTTTAACGACAAGTTGCAGTATGAAGCTTTCAGTGGTACAGTTGGGTAAACTCTGGATGTAATGATATTATAATCCTGTCCTTTAGGCATGGGTTGCCCATTATTTATGCTGTGGGGGAGCTCCTGCAGTGATGGGGGAGGCAACACCCCTCAGTCATACCACAGACTCCTACTGTTTTTACATGGCAGCCCATTTGACATCAAAATGTGCTAAGACAGCTTTGTTGGACTAAGTAGCGCCCCCCCCCCAACTACAACTGAACATTATAGCTGAGTTAGGGCCCTAGATTTTTACCCCTGGTGGTTCACTTGAAGGGATTCCCTACTGAATGATGAAACAGTGGCCACTACCACAAATGAATGAGTTAAAGTCTGGTCTGATACCTAAATCGAACTCCCATGAGCAGACGGAGTATGCCCGTGTGAGTATTAGATGAAATACAACAGAAGAATTATAATGCCTTCTCAGTATTTTTTTTTTAAAAAACATCTGTCTAAATGCTAACAAAATTATACACCTCATGGATGCTGGAGTAAAACTGATAAAGAATCTTGTGACTCCAACGAGCATGTTTTATCTGGTATAAGCTTTCATAGACTGTAGTTCACTTCTTCAGTAACAGGGTATTTGTTCCTAAGAAATCCTGTATCAAAAATGAATGAAAATGTGGGGAGGGGATGGGTTGTTTGGGGTTGTTTGTTTGTTTAATAATTAGAGATGGAAATAACTCGAGGTTTAAAAATCTCAACAGCAAAAGCAAGAGAGCAAAAGTGACATGTGTTTCTCATTTCTTTGCTAAATATATTCATTGGGGGATTCAGGACAGGATGAGACATTTTGGATGCAAACATTAAAATGAAAACTTCCTTTGAAAATGGGTGTTGGGATAATCCAATGAGGTTCTTCTTTTGTTCTTTAGTAAGGCATTGAAGGGATTTGGTGAAAACAGCTGCTCTTTTTTCCCCCCAACAATCTGGCTATCTATCCCATAGATACAAAGGATTTTTAAAAAAGAGATCTGTGTAGAATGCTGTGTGCGGATGTATCTGTTTGTGTGTGTCTGTGACTGTTCTGTTCAACTTCAAGAGAAGCAGATGGGCTCTGGAAGCTGTGTGAGCTTGTGTAATCTCACTGGAATACAAAACTCTAGTCTGAGTTACCTACAATTTGATTTCCCTTCCAGTTACAGACTCAGAGTCTGTGATCTCCCTCCCAAGATGACTCTTCTTAGCATTGTATGGATGTTCCACAAGGGTGTTCCTTCCTTCCTTCCTTCCTTCCTTCCTTCCTTCCTTCCTTCCTTCTCATCTCTCCCATGGTAGTTTTAATTTAGCCATTTACATCTCATTTTCTCCTGACACGAAACTGAAGTGCATGTCAATATATTTGCTCATATTTATCCCATGTCATCTTTGTTTCATTACTTCCTCCCTCCCCATCTCATTTCTCTTCCATTGCATCCCACTGTAGATCAAACAGAGGTGAAGATATGAGGCTTGTTTTATCTGGAACCTTCACAATTTCTATGAGGAAGGAGGTTCCCCCAGATGAGGGGGCTACACTGTCTCTGAACCCCATCACTGCCCTCCTCATAGTCTTTGTCCAGATGGTTTTCTCCCACAACTGGGATGGAAGAGTCTGTGAAGAGGTTAGCCATGAGGAAAGAGTTTAACCCCTCTCTGCACTTTCCTTCTGTAAACCTAGATCTTCTGCTGTTGGTTTTGGTTTCATCCTGTTTTGATGGTGAGTTAAACTTTTGGGGGCATCAATCTCTTGGAGGAGGGAGAAATGTTCCTTTGTAAAGGGCCCTGTACATCAGCGCAAGTATGTTTTTGTTTTTGTGTCGGATCGGGGAAAAAAACGGGTTCATGTCGTTGCTAATAATGATCATGTACGGGTGAATGCTAGTTCAGGAGACTAACGGAATAGTTTAGAATAATGATTGTTACGCTAAAGTATATATCGTACTGATCACTGTTCTTCTACATTTGATCAGACATTAGTCCTACGTGAGCATGCAAGCATGTGTAATGCAAATCATAGCCAGAATCTGTTGGGGTTCCCAACTAGATTAAGAGCGGTTTTTCTGGGTTTTTCGGGCTCTTTGGCCGTGTTCTGAAGGTCGTTCTTCCTAACGTTTCACCAGTCTCTGTGTCCGGCATCTTCAGAGGACAGCACTCTGTGCTCTGGTGTAGTTGGCTTGGGAGTGCCAAGCCAACTACACCAGAACATTCAATCAGTTGTTGAATGTTGAGTCAACATTTATGTACATCTCATTGATTTAATCGATCTACTCTAGTTGGAACAACCAATCAGATTTTGGCCCATGTAAACTGAAGACGCAGGTCCATCCTCCCTGATTCCAATGCCACCGTTTTTATTTGTTTTATTGGATTTCTACCACACCCATCTAGACCAAATGGCTACTCTAGGCGGCATTACAAATTTAAAGAGAGTTAAGCCAATAAACATGGACTATAAATCCAAGATGGCAAGATGTGAATTTAAGGTACTTCTCTGTGTAGCGTCTCTGTGCATTAGAAGGGAAACTTCTGCAGTGGGAAGTCTTGTACAAGTTAAGCCCTATTCAGGTATTCCGCAAGGAGTGAATTTGTAAGTGTGAGCAGGAAGAGAGTTCTAACCCTACTGCCAGACTGTTATTCCTTCTCAGGAATAACAGGAGTCTTTGTAGTCTTCTGCTGCACATTGAATCTATTGGGGAGCTTTAAAAACCTGGGACCTTGGAGAGGTTCAACTTGTGGATGGAGAAACTGATATGCAGGAGACAGGCTAGGATTCTTTCTCCTCCTGCTCACTCTTTCAAGTCCCCTCCTTTTTGAATGGCTGAATAGGGCTTAGGTTCTGTGTTATCCAAAGCAGAGGCGTTGGTCATGGCCCCACCTGGTTTCCTCACAGTCCATCTGCCTGAATGCCGAAATAAGGTTGTATATTGTTTGGATGTAGAACCAGTCCTACCGTTAGGGAATGTGAGACAGCTGCCTCAGATAGTTGATGTTAAAAGAGGTGAAAGGACAGCACAGCTTTAGCCATTGAATTTGTTACTGTTGTGTTGTTACTCACAGAAAGAGAGCTGTGAGATGCTTATGCCTCCCACGCTGAAATCACATTAGCTCTATGAACCTGGATGTGGGTTGCCTCAGGCAGCAAAATGTCGTAGCCCAGCCCAGTATGAGTGAATGCTGGTTTCTAACTTTTGTTTTTCTTTTATGGTAGTCACTTAATTCATTGGTACCAATGAGAGCCACAAAGCAAAAAAAGAAGAAGAAGTGATGCTTAGCTTGAGTGGCTAGACCCAGTTTGATTCTTAACATGATTAGAACTTACTGGTAATTTAAGGTCCAAAGTATGACCTGGAGGTTCTATATGATGCTTTCCATCTCTAAAGTCTTACCGGTGAGCATGACAGAACTTAAATGTTAGCTACCTCATGTGTGTGTGTTTAGTCGTTTAGTCGTCTCCGATTCTTCATGATCCCATGGACCAGAGCACGCCAGGCCCTCCTATCTTCCACTGCCTCCTGGAGTTGGGTCAAATTCATGTTGGTTGCTTCGCAGACACTGTCCATCCTCAGTCGTCCCCTTCTCCTCTTGCCGTCACAGCTTCCTAACATCAAGGTTTTTTCCAAGGACTCTTTTCTTCTCATGAGATGGCCAAAGTTTGTTCTCCTTGCAGTCCAGGGGATTCTCAAGAGCCTCCTCCAGCACCACAATTATAGTAGAGGACAAAGGAACTAATTAGACAGTCCAGAGGGAAGTTTTTCAAATAAATATACAGTACATGCAATTGGTTTATTACAAAATGTTACTTAACTACACAGGAAGTGGGAATTCATTAGTTGAGAAAATCTATCTTTACACAGTAAAGGTTGAACATATATGACTTTATAATCCCAAATGCTATACGACAAGGTTGAAGCCATGTCTTCCATTATCACATTTAGTTTTGTCTTGGCTAGATTTTGATCAAAATCTTTACAGTCATAAACCTGCAGTCATGAGCAGTCATAAACTTGCAAACATCTAGATTTTACCTGCAATGGGGCATGAATTCATCTGTGGAATGTTGACACCATCATAGTGTACTTATTTTATAGATAAACATCTGGAAATCAGGACCCTTGTACTGCACATGGCATAAGCGTGGCCACTTGTTTCTTGAGTAAAATGCTTTCCTTTATGGTGGCAAACAGCAATGAAATTAAGGATGCTATTTTCCCACTTGCATAAGTTTCTTTAGTGGTGTATCCACACTGCATAGTTAGAGCAGTCTGATTCCACATTAACTACCATGGATTTGTGGTGTGATGAATCCTAGGATTCCTGGTTTCATGACGTACTTGGAACCCTTCGACAGTCACTCTTGGTGCTGAGACTACAACTGAGAATTATTAACAACATGCCCCAGGATTCCACTGAATGGAGCCACAGCAGGAAAGTGCTATATCTTAGTAGCGCAAATGCATTTGGTGTCTTCTCGGAATTTCAGCACGGCATCTGAAAGCACTTTTTCCATGCTGATGTCCACCGTGCTTGCCATCAGGA